CATATTGCTATGCCCCTTTTGTTAGACAGTTTCAGTGGGATGGAATGATACACCAGAAATGGCCAAGATCTCTTGCAATAAAACGGATTGGACCAAGTCTTTACTGATCAGTTGATTGAATTGACTTAGTCCACTAAATTATTTTCTTGTTATGCATGGGAATTGTTCTCCCTCATTTTTAGTAATTTCCCTCATTCTCAGCTTTGTTTGTTAATTTCCCAATCATGTAAAAATATTATAAATAGTCCGTAATATCTTCAATATGAAGGCAATCAGATTTAAAGCTCAAACCATCCTCTTTTCTTCCCGCTTCTTCTCTATTTCTTCTCTATTAAATTCTAACGTATCACCATGGTGGGTAGCAGTTATTTTTTCCACCAGGCAATATAATGTTTGACAATTCAACGTTAAATTGTCAAAAATTATAAATATGACTGCGGACATGGCAGGCAAACTTTTCATTTCATTAAACTAACATAACTAAAATTCGATACGAAAACTTTCAAGTATGTAAAATCAGGTTCTCTTTCTGTTTCCATCATTCCATGAAAAAAGGGGGTAAATTCAAAGAAAAGAAACTCAAAACCCTAATTCAAGTATGGAAAGAATTAATATACATGATGCAATATTCCATCACTTTAGAAATTCTACATTGTTTACCGAAATTACTAATTTATGTAATAGTTCTGGTATAGGTAGCAGCATCTCATGCAAGAATTAAAACTTCCAAAAAAAGAAAAAAATCGACTTACACCTAATTTTTCACCAGAATCTTCCAAGTCCATCGATTTTAATGGGGTGGAATTTGCTTGAATCAGAAGTATTGATCTTGGTCCACGCATTTTGAGCCATGTTCATTCACACTAATTGTTGATGACCTAACTCCAGAAAATCCATCTATTCCAAATCCTTTAAATTTAATTGGTCAAACCCAAAATGCAATTCCACTTAATTACGATTTACGCCTTCACAAGTTTCCCAACAAGGGCATTTTTTTTAACTTCTAAACATTTATATATGTTTCATTGGATTTGTTTCTTAATTAGCCAGCCAGCCAGACAGAGAGACATCCATCCAAGATTTTAATGAAAGCCATGGAAATCAAGTTATATTACATTTTGGCTTTGGTCGTTTTGGTGATTGATTTAAGTAGTTATGGAATTTGTCAAACTGATGAGGATTTAGGAAAGGCGGCTTCGTTTATTTTTGGAGATTCCTTAGTAGATGCTGGAAATAACAACTATTTACAAACGTTGTCGAAGGCTAATATCCCCCCGAACGGTATTGATTTTAAAGCTTCAGGAGGAAATCCTACCGGCCGGTTTACAAATGGAAGAACAATTGGAGACATAGTTGGTAAGATTTTGCTCGTCATATTGCGTTATGAGTTTCTTCTGTATTTTCAACGATTCGGAGTGATAAAAGGTTTTGATTTGTCTCGCAGGAGAGGGATTGGGACAACCTCACTATGCGATGCCATTTCTTGACCCAAACACGACCGGAAGAACTATCTTATATGGGGTTAATTATGCATCAGGAGCTGGTGGAATCATGAATGCTACTGGAAGAATATTTGTAAGTATCTCCATTATCTATAAGTGATTACCATATGTACTACTTGAAATTTAATTATATTTTTGTGCTAAACATATGTGTTTAACAGGTGAATAGGCTATCACTGGAAATCCAGGTTGATTACTTCAATATCACTAGGAAACAAATTGATAAATTATTAGGTCCATCAAAAGCAAAAGAATACCTCACAAGAAAATCAATTTTCTCCATCACTATAGGATCCAACGATTTTCTCAACAATTATCTTCTTCCAGTAGTTTCCGCGGGTACAAGAATTTCACAAAGTCCAGATACTTTTATAGATGATGTGCTCAATCATCTAAGGGGACAGCTTACGGTATGTAAACACGAATATTATCTTAAACTCATAGACGGAATTTACGCTGTTTTTGGTTAACTGTCAACGATCTTGAATGCTTTGCTTTGATTGCAGAGACTTTACCAATTAGATGCAAGAAAGTTTATAATTGGGAATGTTGGGCCCCTTGGATGCATTCCCTATCAGAAAACCATTAATCAATTGAGTGAAAATGAGTGTGTGCAATTACCAAATAAGTTGGTACTTCAGTACAATGCCAGATTAAAGGATCTTGTCCAAGAACTAAATGAAAACCTTCCAGGAGCCACTTTTGTGCATGCCAATGTCTACGAACTTGTCATGGAACTCATTACAAATTATGCTAAATATGGTGAGAATTGAGAGCCAAACTATCTCAATTTGTTGTGAAAAAGAAATCAAGATCGAATTTTCTTCAATATGTTGTTCTTGAAATTTATGCAGGATTTAAAACTGCGAGTAAAGCATGCTGTGGAAATGGAGGACAGTTTGCTGGGATAATTCCATGCGGGCCAACTTCTAGTTTGTGTTCGGACAGGAACAAGCATGTATTTTGGGATCCTTATCACCCAAGTGAGGCTGCGAACCTAATTATTGCCAAACAATTGCTCAATGGGGACCCGAAATATGTAACTCCAATTAACCTCAGACAACTCGTAGATCTCTGATTCAATAATAAATAGTTTCTTGCATATGTATTTTGTTCTTAGTCTTTGAATTTTTCCTCTCTCTTTACTTCATGTTTGTATTTTGTTAATCTATTCAAAGAAAATTGTGTGTCGACCTATATTCATATATCAACTTAATGCTAAAATGGTCGTGATATAAGCCTATATTTTGTAACTTCTAATTTACGATCATATTGTGTAATTTAATCGGTTATGAATTTCTTTAAATTTTCTTTTGCTGCTTATATTAGAAAAGAAAAAAAAAATGATAATTTGGACTTCCAATAAAGTTACTCCTACCATGTCAACAAAAATCAAGAATTTATAGATGGGAAATTTGGCCATTTAGCCTAGTTGGACAATGTAGTTGGTGAAATGGCCTTTGACCAATAATAAAAACAAAAAAATAAAGCAAAATATTTTAGTTGATAAAATGACAAAATTCTCCTTCAATTATCCACTCAAAAACCCTCAATTTTCCTCATTTCGTCCCGTCATTTCTCCTCCATCTTCTTCCCCTTTTTATCTTCTTAAATTTTCGGTCATCGTTCTTGCTACCCAAAAATCATGTT